CCGCTAGATGACAACAACAACAACAACAACGACAATATCGAGGCTTCTCACCATTTTAACACACATCAACTATTTCATCTACCCATGTTCTACCCAACATATTTTGTAGATAAAAAGCATATCCAGTTTAAAACTTGTATAAAACATCAATTCAACAATTGTCTCAAATAAACACTCAATATATATATATATATATATATATATATATATATATATATATATATATATATATATATATATATATATACATACATACATAACACGTATTTATATAAAATACTTCATATCTATGTGTAAAATGAAAGTGACTATACACTCACATGATTTAATGATAAATGGCTAGCAATTTGTTGCTTAAAACGATCGTTTCTAATAAAAACGAGAGTTTTATTGAGAAATCGGGCTTTGCGAAGGTCGGGCTTCGAAACCGAAAAGATAAATTTTCCGGGCTTCTCGAGCACTTCGTGCAGTATTCTGGGGCTTATAATCGTTACCGGGGCTTTGGGGGATGTTAAGATGAAAGAAATATGGGTTTAGGGGCTGAAAATGACAAGATTCCAAAATATATCCGGGAGGTCTCCCACCTCTCTATTTATAGGGATGAGCTTCTGATCGGACGGCTGAGAAGCCTCCAGGTGGCGAAGATCCGAGGCTCGCAGGGGGTGGCTTGCACATGGGTTGCGCATGCGAAGTGGCTGTTGGCAGTTTGTGATTGGACCGAGGTCTAGGTTCGAAGTAGGGTGGATTCGTGGCAGCTTGCGAGGGCTTTAGACACGAGGAAGAGGACACGCGTCGGATTCTCACTGGACCACTTCGGATAAGGTCAGGAGCTCGGATGACTCAACAGCTCGGACACGTGGCTCTCATGACTCACCATTTCGGACACGTGGCACATTTTGGGCGAGGGTGACGTGGCCGAAGTCCACCCATGCGAATTTTCTCGGTTTTTGTGCAAAAACTTCTAAAATCCATAACTTTCACATACGAGCTCTGTTTTTGACGTTCTTTATATGCACGCGTAGGTAAAATTACGCTCTACAACTTTCATTTAGACTTTGTCAGCTAATTTTGACTTTAATTTTTATATTATTATTTTTAACAGACCGGGACAAGAAATCCGTTAAAAATTCATAACTTCTTCATCCGACGTCCGTTTTCATCAGACTTTTTACCATTGTGCTACTATTGTCGAGACCTTCTATTCTTGTTTAGGTTGTGTCGGCTAAAAAATGCTCGATCTAAAATTCGAGTTTTTAGCTGTCTACCGCTAAGCTGAAACTTCGAAAAATCATAACTTCCTCATACGAAGTCAGATTTGGGCGTTCTTTTTATTGAACTTCTCGGTTTAATGAATACTACGAATTTCGTTTAGATCACTAAGGCTAAAAAATAGTTTATCAAAAACTCACTTTTTACGACATTCAGCACCGTGCCGGTTTTGTCGCGAAACTTCGACAGGTCATAACTTCTTCGTTATAACTTGGATTTTGGTATTCTTTATATTCCCAAAATCCTTGTTTCGACCACTACAACTTTATGTAAAGATATTGGATTTATCTAATATTTATTTTTGATGCTTATTTTTATTCTTAATTAATTAAGCCCTAGTAATTAAGCATAAAACACATGGAATTCACATAATTCGTTTTTCATTTCTTCAAAATGAGTTACAAAGGTTAACATAGACTATCTCCTCAATATAAATGCCTAGGCTAGAAACACGAGTGTTACATAAAGCTTCCATCTTTCTCTCCATGTATGACCTTTTGGAGCTTAAAAGGCCGAAATGACATCCTAAAGCTTGCATAGGGCTTCAATGACCATACAGTTTGCACCTTTATGTCATGAGAGCCCTTTAAGTTTCTAGATCTGAAGGTATACTCACTTGGGATGTCCATTTCCCAAAGATTATGCTTCTTGGACCAAAACCCAATAAAATGATAATAAGGAGATCTAAGCAGTTACTAAGCAAGTTCGAGACTTGCTTACTAGGAAATGATGAGAATGAAATGGTGTCTCTGGATCTACTAGCTTCTTCTTGAATCCCCAAGCTTTTCCTTCCTTCACAAGCTTCAACACACACAAAACCCACTCAAAATGGCTCACAATGTCACAAATGCATAAAGGTTTCGAGACTTAAGGTTTGGGACTTGGAGGCTGGAAGTGAGGCTAGCATGTGGGGATAAAGATGCTTAAATAGGGTGCAAAACCCCGAAATTAGGGTTTCACCCCTGACAGCCTACTCATTGAGTTGAGGGCTCTCAACTTGTCGAGTAGGTTACTTAAAACCCGCATCCCTTCTGATCTATACTCGACGAGTTTGGGGCTCCCAACTCGTCGAGTTGTTCTATGAAAATGATTAAATTATTATTTAATTACATATTAGGAACTATGCGTTACATTAGTTTTGGTTCATGTTGGGTCAAGGGTAAAATGGCCATTTTGCCTAACGTTTGGGTTATGGGCCTTAGAATGGAACCCAATTGCTAATTGGGTGTTATTGTGGTTAAGTTAACGCTTCATTTATCACTTTAGCTTTTCCTTTTAAAAGAACTTAATACGAATATTATTCAGTTTAGTTTCAATTATCATTTATTAATATTCGCGACTATAATAACAATATTTCAGATTCATCAGTAATCCCAAATGAGTACTAAGTTATATCAAATAAATAAAGGCTAGGTAAGATTATATTGGAGGTAAGACTCGTTTGGTATGTAGATATATTGTTTGGAAATCCACTTTAACACCTCACTAGATCTAACCTATACATCGTTCCCGTAAGTAGATCAATCAATGTAAAAACTAGTATTACTGATAAATCTTATTTATAGGTTCATAATAACAAATATGAATATAAGTATAAGTTATACTTAAAATCATAGTAAGTATAGCTTAACTTATAGGGTTTCTATCGAAAACTCGAAAACTTTGTGGGCAGAACTTAGATACAAAAAGCTCTTTTTCGTCGGGCTCTCCAATACCATAGTGCCTCGCTAACATGATCAAAAACTCAGAAAATTGATCTCATTGGTGCGGGAATGAGTCGAGAGAAAGTTGTGTGCCAAATATGTAGACAAATAAGCCTAAATAGAGACGTTTTTGAAAAGCACGTCGAGCCTGATGACATTTTCAAATCCTATGGAGCAAAATATCATCGGGGTAGGTAAGGGGTTGGTGTCTGGGTGCCACATGTCGTATTCTCTATGATTCCACATCACCTTTTCCGAATAAAATCTAACGATCTTTGGAAAATCGTAATTTTCACATACGAGCTTTGTTTTCAACGTTCTTTATATCAATTGATTCATATCGATGAGTACTACAACTTTCATGTATATTTCAACAGCTAATTTACATTTTATTTTGCACTTCACAGTCTATAAAGATTACACTGTGAAAGACAATGTGAAATTCATAACTTGTTCATACGATCTTCATTTTCGACGTTTTTTATATTGATGAATTCATATTGTCATGGACATCGAATCTCCTTTACATCATTTTTGCTAATGAGTAACCGATCTTTGTTTCATGTTTTTATGACACACATTGATGTATTATGTCGAATGTGAAACTTTGAAAAATCATAACTTCACATAATATCAGATTTTGACGTTCTTTGTAGTCATTGGTTCGTAGTCACGGCTATTACAACTTTCATTAGTATTATTTATCCTAAATAATCTCTAATTATTATTTATCACTTCTCATTACGTTTATAACTATATATATTATATAAATATTATATCGCCATAATATTTATCTGTATAACATATATACAATAATTATATAAAAATAATATTTTTTTTGTAAACACGTAACACATGAAAGAAAAATTCTTATTTATTTAGTTATAATATAATTTACATTAATTTACTAACATAAATGTCTAATGAAAAATACTGACATTACAAGACATCAATTTTATTATAAACTTACTTTGGTTAATGACAATGCACCACTTAATTATATTTTTTGTTACTCCTTTACCAGTTTTATGTTTTGTTAGTCCTTTACCACCTTCAAAATGACATTACAAATATCAAATGAAATTCTAATTTTAAACCAACTTCAAATTAACACTACGCCATAAAGTATAACAAAACCTCATCATGCTTCAAGACCAACATTTATGTTATAACAAACCAATGCCATTACAATCCTGCCATTTTATACACACGTATAAAACAAAAAAAACCTAAATAAAGATCAAAAGCAACTTCATCTTCTACGAAGATGCTTCAAGACTATTCGTTGTCGTTAACAATCCAAGGCTTATATCAATGGCCCTACAATAAAACTGTACTTTGATCCTGATTTCGAGCATTGCCAAAAGCTCCTATGTGGGGTTAATTCCATCCACGATGTGAGGAGCATTGTTGGCCTTCCACAATAACAAATTAAACACCATCTTCAATTCGATTTTTTGGAGCTTGTTTGCATATACCAAGGAGAGAGAAATTAAGAGATTGAAGAAGCGTTTAAATGGGTGCTCATAGAGGTGGAAATTAATGTTACCTTGCCATGGAAAGCACATGGACTATTTTATGGAATTCTGTCCCAAATACGTAAATTATCCCAAAGCGCAAGGACCATTTATATAATTTGTTTGTGATATTTTCTCAAACGCCTTATGTTTGTATAGTACAAGTTTAAAGTTTTATCCTTACCATAAATGCACCTTAATTGTGATTAAATATAGTCTTGAATGCTTGAAGGCCATAATATAGATCAACTACAAGACTTTGGCCAAATGATCAAATGCTAAAAGTCGTTGGGCATATATAAAAAGAAATCCAAAAGTTGAATTATCGATCAAGTAATTTATCACAGCCATAATTAGCATTTTATGACGTATACGCTTGCCCTAAAACCAACCAACGTTAAGTATTATATACGACAGCTGTCATAAGTCATAACTGCATGCATGATGAATCTTGTTTGTCTTTTTTTTTTTCTTCCAAAAAACCACGTTATTAAGATAGTGAAACTGTTTTTGACCAACATAAAATTGTCATCAGTTTTCAGAAATATATATATATAGAGAGAGAGATCTTAATTCTGTTGACATAAATTTGTTCCAAATAACTTACAATATATAGCAGTTAACTAATTAAGCACACATGCATGGGATCTTTTTTATGCCCACAAACCCATACCATAATTAATTATTATTATATATATTTAAGTTATTCTTTTTAACATGGCAACCATCCTTGCATGTAATTATTCATACTTGGCCCTGCTCCTCCTCCTGCCGTTAGTGAATCCGTTTGATACCTAAAATTCAATCACAACAAATCGATATGATTGAAAGGTTAATTTCATAAATTGGTGACAAGTTATTTAAACTGTTCAAAAAGCGCTTCAAGAAAATACTACATATAATTTTTTGAAAAAGTTTAATTAAACAGTTAGTTAATCAACCTTTCAATTTACTTGTTAATTATTAAATTAACAAGTAATAAAAGTACCATTAATTAATTAAGTTACATTTTAATAACAAATTTTCAGTTAATGGATTGAACAAGTTGGTTACCCATTTCCGATTTGTAAAGTGGGCCCACAGTCGAGGGGATGAAAGAAGGCTTCATCGTTTTGGTGTTGAGGTTGAGGTTGTCTTTCATAACAGACTTCCTGTTGGGCATGTGGATACCAATGGAGTGAGTTTACTTGATTTCCTTCTATCAGCTGCATGATATACAAAACATTAATATCATTGCATATATAACATATTACATATATATATAGAAAATGAAAATGAGATTACATAACATAGTTATAATATATAATACCCTTTGCTTCAAGGTCCGGTTTGCTTCATTTAACGCATGCTCCTACATTATATAATGAACAAGTACTACATATATAAGAAAAAAGAAAATTGGAATTATTTTATATAAAGTTTCGAGATTGTTCTATAACTTGTTACCTTCTTTTGAAGATCTGAAAGTGTGTCCAACATGAGCTGTGTCTGTGCCACAGATATAGATGTACAGAATAATTATTTAATTTAATTTGACATTGATATATGATATCGATAATATATAATTTAATTTAATATGTTGAAAAATATATATAAAAATACAATACCCGGGCTGATCGGATATGCTTGAGTGATGTATCGAGCTGTTTTTCTAGCGATTCAAGCTCCTTGCAGTTTAAAGGCCCAAGATCTTCACCCAGAAGATTCCTAGGGTAGGTACGTACGTTCATAACAACCATATTAATTAAATAACATTTATTAATAAAAAAAAGAGAAAACTTGTACAAAATAAGTAAATATATTGGCTCTTTTTTTGTTTACCTTTGGGAACGTTGTAGGGCTTCATAGCGTGTCTTAAGTTTTAAATACTCCTGTTGACTACTTAGTTCCTACAGCCATGAGAAACGAAGTCGTATTATGTATATATATGCATGTCTGTTATATAGTTATTATTTATTAATATTTATTAATATAAATCGAAGTTTTATGTTGAAAGTTGAAACCCTAATTGTTAGACAAACTAATTTTTAATTTGATTTGGCCGGAATTTCCTCCTTTTTTTAATCTATTAATAATTAGTATTGTACGCGAGGTGGATAAAACGCGTCAACTCGGGTTAATTTAGGTAAATTGTTGATTGAAAAATAAGAACCATAAATAAGTAAATGAATTAAGGAAAATATACGAAATGTCATGGGTTAGTTATATATCATTTTTTTTTTATGATTTTCATGTTACGATTTGTTAGCTTAGATATATTTCTTTTTTTTTTTGTAATTCAAGAAGATCCTTCACCAAAAAATATAAAAGATTGCTTACGTACAATTTGAGATTAAGGTTTAAAAGCTTACATAGCATATATATGTAAAATAAGCCTATATCTATATTTCTTATAAACAAATATATAGTATATTTTTTGAAAGATTTTATTACGAAATTTGCTTCCTGTTTATACGAGATATTAGTTTTAGAAAATTTTCTTACAAGTGCACGAATTTGTCGGAATGACAAATAATTTCCATAAATCACTCCCTACTTCTTTCATCAATACAATTTCACCTCCTTTTGTATATATACACATATCTTCATGATGAAACGTTTCTACGAAAACTCAAAATCATCTTCTTTCCAGCTTATTCAGATACCAAAGGTTAGCTTCACTTCATAATGGTTTTTCAAATCCAGATTACATGATATATGTTTAAGTTTCTTTTCTTCTTATTAACTTATTTTCACCAAAAAAAATAGAAACACCACATTTTATGATCCATACAGCCTTTAAATCCTCTTCAATGTTGTTAACATGTTCATCTTTCTTACATTGTTTATTAGGTTTTATTATGTTTTGCTTAAAAGAATTTTTTTTTTATATATATAAGAAAACACAGAGAGAGAGAGAGAGAGAGAGAGAGAGAGAGAGAGAGAGAGAGAGAGAGAGAGAGAGAGAGAAAGAGAGAGATAAAGTTTATGTTTTACTGATTAGATACAGAAAAATAAAAACTTTATATTAGACTAACATTCTACCAGTTTAATCCAGAATATATACTAGTTCTTAATTATACAAGTTGTGAACAAATGGAGGAGTTTTCTTCTTCGAACCACAGCAGCAATTTGTCGCATACGATGATAAATAATTATGATTATTCACAAAAATACAAAGGGGTGGTCCCACAACAGAATGGAAACTGGGGTGCTCAAATATACGCAAATAATCGACGAATATGGCTTGGAACATTCAAATCTGAAATAGATGCAGCCATGGCTTACGACAGGGCATCTCTCAAGCTAAGAAGCGCAGACGCTCCAAGAAACTTTCCATGGACGAAAATAACCCTCCAAGAGGCAAAGTTCCAAACTCATTACACCATGGAAATAGTTTTAGCTATGATCAAAGATGGAACGTATCAGTCTAAGTTTGACGATTTTTCGAAAATAGAGAAGGAGAATGAGCAGAATAATAATGTTCTATCTCCTAATCAAAAGGGTAATTTCGGGTTTTCATGTAGGGTTCTCTTTCAAAAGGAGTTGACTCCAAGTGATGTGGGTAAGCTTAACAGATTGGTTATACCTAAGAAGTATGCTATTCGTTATTTTCCACACGTGCCTGATAATGAGTCAGAAGGGGGTGGTGGTGTTCATGTTAATGTTAATGATGAGGTGAATCTTTCTTTTTATGATGTTCAGAAAAGATTGTGGAAATTTCGTTATTGTTATTGGAAGAGTAGTCAAAGTTTTGTGTTCACTAGAGGGTGGAATCAGTTTGTGAAGGAGAAGAAGCTAATGGCCAAGGACAGGATTGTCTTTTACTATCATGAGAATCTTCAAGTATCGAATATGGGGTTCTGGGTTATCGACACGTGTTGGTCTAGTAGCAATATTGGAGTAGGTCTGAAACTTGGTGTGGGGGCACTTGAAAATGGTGAATTAAGAAGGGAAACAGAAGAAAGTTTTCAGGATCAAAAGATGGATGATGAAATTATAGAAAGAAGCAGCGTAGAGACCAAAGGATTCAAGCTTTTTGGTGTCCTCATAACTGAATGACAACTTTTTATTTTTATTTTTTATAATGTTTATATGAATCTTTAGTTTAAATAAAAGTTTCTTTTTCTTTGTTATGGTTTACCCATTGAACTTAGATGTATTCTATATTTGATAACCTTTATAGTTCAACTTTGACATTAATTAAAACTTGTGTCGGCTAAAAAAATCTAACCTTTATAAAGACAAGTCTAAAATATATAAATTTATTGAAATGAAAGCTGAAAGTAGGATAGAAAGAAACGCATATATGATTGTTTATAGAAAAAGAGAAAACTCACTAGTGCTTCCCTTGCAGAGACATTTGACTCTGGTGCTCCATAGTTGCATTTTTGATACCTCTCCAGTGTTTTCAGCATGCTGCTAGAAGAATAATTGTAATTAATTACACGTTACAAATACTAAAATAAAGTTTAAACTGTGTATGATAATTAAATGTACAACTGAATGAACATTCAGTTGATTAGTAGCATAATTAAGTAGATGCGTTAGGGTATTTGAGAGATTGAGGACTATGTAATGTTCAACACAAACTCTCGACTTTCATTACTTAACCTTTTATCTTTCTCTCTCACGTGTGATAAAAGGACTTTGTAAAGGTGTTTACAATTACATGTCCTGAAAGAAAAGAATATATGCATCCTTTCAAGCTTTTCCCCTAAAGTCGCCATTGATTGAGCTAATTGAACTTTTGAGGATCAAAACCAATTTGCAGCCTACAGATTTTATTATTAAGATTGGAGAAACAATCCAAGAAGGAGTGAATCTTGTGTAATTCATTGGAATAACTACTGATTGGAATTAAAATTGTCAACTCTAGGATTCAATGAGAAAATCCTAACTACTGCTGCAAAATTACCAGCGACCATTTGCATTTATTTTCTCTAGAACAGAAGTTATGCACAAAGAGAGGCAACAAATAATTTAACATGATCTATAATCTGCTTGCTGGATTTCATAATATTAGTGTTGCTGAAAGAAGTTATCTACCAGCTTCGTATCCATGAATTTCTGTAGATCAGAAGTTTGTGTAATTCTTCTGGTAATAGAAAACTGAATATAGAAAATCAAAGTTATAAAATGAAAACTCCTTGGAAAACCTATAAGGCGAAACTGAAAAGAAGTGAGAGAAAAAAGAAAAAGAATCAACTGTGACCAAAGAAACCCTAGAGATGGAAACATATCTGAAATGAGAGAATTCCTCAACTATGAGATGTTAGATCTCAGGAAGTAACTACATAATTAGATGAGGTTGAAAGGTTTAGAACACATGAGAATTTGAATTGAATATTTATATAACAAATTAAGGCGAAGCAAAAGGAAACATAACGAAAGGAGGAGAGAGAAAATATTCTGCCATGAAATGAAAACTCATGACAAATTCTTTTTGAAGTTTTGTACAATTTTTCATGAACAAAAAAATCAAATTACTCACTTCTGAAAAAATCGAGTCGTAGAGGAAGCTAGAAAAGGTTAAGGAACTCGTGATCGAAACAAAAGAACAGAAATGGCGATGCATTTATATAGAAATGGTGAGAGAGAGAGTAAGAAAAGAGAAATCTTCTTTTCATGGCTTTCCACTCGCAGATCTATCAAAAAAACAAGCTACAAGTTCCATAAACGCCGAGACATTCACGAAAACTGCAAACTTGATACACGAAAAACAAATTCGCTTTTTCATAGCACTTGAGATCGATCCATTCCCGTCCAAGCTGCTTGCTTAGATCTAAAGCAGATTCGAATAGAAGATACAAAAAATGTGATTCCGTTTCCGTACTCCATCGATACATAAAAAAATCAGTACATATATCCATATATATGTTATACCTTGAGCTGCTACAAAACTCATAGAGCTTTCCCCTGTTGGAGAAGATGATCAAAGCAACCTCAGCATCACAGAGAACGGAAAGCTCGTAAGCCTTTTTCAACAGTCCATTTCTGCGCTTTGCGAAGGTGACTTGCCTGTTGATTTTGTTCTCTATCCTCTTCAATTCCACCCTCCCTCTCCCCATTCTCACAATCACTGAATCTATCACCAAAAGAACACAAAGATTCAGAGGTGACACAATCTCTCTCTTTCGTTTCTAGCTTCTCTCTTACCTTCTATCACTCCTTATACACGCTTTCTTTTACACATACACTTATCAACTTTTAATTTAATGGAAACCAGTGCGTTATTTACTATTTATCGTACACAACTGCAATCTAAACATTCTTAATCATTATATCTGATTTTAGTATAACTTTTTTTTATATATATTATGATTTTATAATTTATAATGTGTTGCTAGTTTCAACATATATATTGCGTTTTATTTTAAAAATATATATTATAAGACAATAATATCATCGAAAGTTATAAATACTAATTTGAAAATGAAACTTTTACACAAATAAATCATCATATATAAAACTTTTTGGTCATGGTTGAGAGGTACGACGGGATAATTATGGTACAACTATATGGACTCGTATGGTTGAGAAAGCGTTATTTTTAGAAAATAATAATTACTTGTTGATAAATGAAGCGAAATCACTTAAATTGTGGATGTAATGTTTTGCAACATTGCTTTGTGGAATTTGGCCAAGGATTTTTGAGATTTCCCATTACATTATCTTTTAAGGGCTTGGCATAGTTATATTTACATATAGAATCCTTTATTCGAACATCAATTGCAGCCCACGTATGAAATACCAATTCCATTAATTTTATCATTATGTTTCCACTTTTATGGCAAATTTATGATTATACTTGCTCAAATAAATAAAAATATTAACATAAGTTATGTAGAATATATGACTTTAACAATAACAAGAATACCTAAGGTCGTGTTTGGTGAGGCCGATTCAATCATATGTGTTTTGTTGTTGGATAAAAGATTGATGGATTTAATGTAGAAGTAATTTAAATTATTTTATGCTTTATTATTAAAATGATCAATTATCTTTGTAATTTGTGGATATTTTTAACCACATGTAATATGAAAAAACAAACCAAACTAGCAAGACACTAGACCGAGGAGGAACAAATGTTAAAAAAAAAAAAAACAAACAAAAATAAAAAAAATCAAAGCTACACCACTTAAACCAATCTACATTGTGCATTCTCACACAATAACTAACCCATTTAAAAGTGTTAATCACAATGTCGTCCGCCATCTTCAAATGAGCAATCCAAAACTTAGTGAGAACCACGACATTCCTTGACTTCCAAATCCACCACTACATTGCCTAAGAAAGAGTCGACTTCCACAAAAGTAACTTATTTCCTCCGCTCATACTTTTTTTATTTGTTGATTGATAAATATAAATATGTTAGCAAAAAGCTAGGAGAGAGCAATTACAAAAGAATAGTCAAAATAGGGTTTAAAAGTCATGAGAACTAACATAACTTTTTTATTTCTATACACAAACCAATTATAAGAATAATCAACCAAAATATGGGTTAAAATATTCTATCTACCACATCCTCCCAATTCAAAGGACAATTGAAATAGAATCTAGACCACAAGCAAAACTAACCTTATATCGAGAAAACAAAATCACACTCAAAGAAGACATCATCCATCCAATCATCACTCGAACCATAAAATTAACAAAGGGAAGAAGCAACTATAATACATCTACGAACCATAATACACACAAGAGGAATAGGATTCTTTAGAAGTCGGCAAATAAAAACAATTTATCTTCAATGACACCCACTTCACCATGTAACGTTCTAAAAATTATAGAGAAATTTTTTGTTCATAAAATAGATTAACCAATTAAAACATTTATTTCAAAAATCATTGAGTAACATTTGTTTAATTGAAACCATACATTATCAGAGTTAAGTTTACAAAATCATAGAAACAGATATCTTTGATGTGTGTATATAGTCTTACTGAGCTCTTCTTACAAACAACCTGCAAAACATTTTTTCCACAACTATAAGCATAAAACTTAGTAAGTTCCCCAGTATACCATATATTCCACTATACATAAAATGAATACAAGCAAAGCCTTTATCTCTAGCATCGAACAATCAAATCTCTTATCCATATACATATATAATACATAAAGTATAGAGTCTATATCAATCTCAATTGAATGTTGTAACATCCCAAAAATCAAGGAAATATTTTCATTTTCCAAAAACAACCAAAAACCATAAATGTTTACAAACATAGTTTCCAATGTGTCAAAGTCACGAATCCGAGTGTCCCAAAAATCAAATCTCTTAAAAACCGAAGGATGTGTTCGATCAAGCCTTCGTCTTGCCTCGATCATCGAAGTACATGAAACATAAAACTTAAATTATAAGCCAAAGCTCAGCGAGTTCTCCCAAAGTACCACAGACAACCAAACAAATATATGTATTACATGCTGGGTCCACAACCTCCTAGTTGGATTACCCTGACCCACAACCTCTAGGTTGGATTGCCCTGGCCCACAACCTCCAGGTTGGATTACCCCGTACACACGACATGCGCAAGGTTACGCATGACGTACACACTGATGTTCTTTTTCTTTATTAAGAGCTTAATGCGTTAATCTCTTACGTTCTAATTGTAGATCTAAGGCAAAAATATCATGGAGAGTCATAAATTTCCAACTTTATGACTTTACATGCTCACTAAGTGCTTAATACCAACATTCTTAACTTCTTAACACCTAAAGACCTTCTAGAGCATGCATAGGGAAGAACTAAGCTTCAAGATCTTATTTTTATACTCAAGACCCCTCATTAGGTCTGAAAGGATGAGTTATTTGGTTAACAGCATGCCATGCTCAAGAATCACAAAGGTTGGGACCAAAAATGCCCTAAATGTAGGAATAACTAGATCCATAAGAAAAGATGATCAAGCTAGGAGCTTTTTACCTCTAGGATGTTGCTAGCAAGGTAAGAATCCCATATCCAAACTCCTACCAAGCTCTAATGTCTTTCTACCACCTTCTTCTTCTTCAAGAACACCACCAAAACACACAAATAAGCTCAAGATCCACTCTTCACACCTATGGTTAGCTAGAAGGACACTTTTTAGTTGGATGCTGATGAGGATGAAGGTCTTGGGGGCCATAAAGAGGTTTATATAGGGTGCAAACCCTCAAAACTAGGGTTTTGGTCTGAACAGCATATGCGCTGCGTACCTGATGAGTACGTTGGGCGTACGCGTGTGAGACATGCTTCCTCATGCATGAGTACGCCATATGTACACCTGAGTACACACGACGTACATACCAAAAATGTCAATCTTTGAAGATTTTAGGGTTAACAATGAACCTTCTTGGAGCGGGTGTTACAATTCTCCCCCACTTGAACTAGACTTCGTCCTCAAAGTCTGATGCTTTGGATAACTCGGGATAATGCTCCCGTATCTCCGCCTCTGGTTCCCAAGTCCAGTTGGAGCCTTTTTACAATGTTTCCACTGAACCTTTACCAAAGGTATCTCCTTGTTGTGTAGAACCTTAATCTTTTTCTCCATTACAACTACCGGCCTCTCAACATAATTCAAGCACTTATCGACATGATTATCATCCAATGGGACCACTACCTTTTTGTCCAACACACACTTTTCCAACTACGAAACATGGAAAGTTGTGTGGATCTAACTGAGCTCACTCACCAAATCCAACCAGTAGGCTACCTTGCCTACCCTGGCGATCACATGGAACAGTTCAATATACCAGGGTCCAATTTCCCCCTATTCTTGAAGTATATCACACCCTTCTAGGGTGATACCTTTAGTAGCACCATATTGCCGACCTGAAACTCCAACTCTGATCGATACCGATTAGTATAGCTCTTCTGTTGACTCTAAGTTTTCTGCAATCTCTGGCTGATCTGTTGGATGAGCTCTATGGTCTGGAGGACTACCTCAGTCCTTCCCATGACTCTATGATCAACATCCTCCCAACTAACTGGGGTATGAAATCTCCGACCATATAGAAGCTCGAAGGGCAGTACACCAATGGTGGAGTGATAACTGTTGTTATAAGAAAACTCTACACGAGGTAGGTAGGAATCCCAACTCCCACCAAAATCTATGACACAAGCCCGCAACATATCCTCAACTCTCTAGATTGTTTGGTTACTGTGGCCTTCAGTTTGTAGATGATAAGCAGTGTTGAAATGTAGCCTCATACCCAGTTCCTCGTGAAACTTTTGCTAGAATCGTGAAGTGAACCAAACATCTTGATCTGATACGATGGAAACTAGAACCCCATGATGAGCAACGATCTATCTAACATACACATAAGCTAATTTCTCGGCCGAGAAGCTCTCACAGATGGCCAAAAAGTGGGCGCTCTTAGTCAATCGATCCATGATGACCCACATAACATCAAAACCCTTGGCAATCCTTGGTAGTTTGGTGATAAAATCCATGGTGATTTGTTCCCACTTCCACATGGGAACTTCCAAAGGCTGCAGCTTGCCATGCAACATTTGGTGCTCGACCTTGACCATCCTACAAGTCAAGCATCTCTTAACATACCAAGCTATCTCCCTCTTCATACATGACCACCAGTAACTTAGTCTCAGATCCTGATACATCTTGGTGGTTCTTATGTGTATCGAAATGCGAGACTTATGTGCCTCCACCAAAACTGTTTGTTAGACCCCGCCAGAAATTGGAACCGGTACCCGACCACACCGGGTCAACAATCCCCGACTATCAATGACAAATCTATCGAACTCTCCCCTGATCCTCTCTTTTTTCCAATTCTTTTCCTTGAATCCTTTTGCCCGTGCCCATCTAATCAAATCCTCATACACATACCCCCAGCTGAAGATCCAACCGACTTGCGGCTCAAAGCATCCGCAACCACGTTCTCTTTACCCGGATGGTAAAGGATCTCATAGTCAAAATCCTTGACCAAGTGAAGCCCCCTGCGCTTCCTCATGTTCAGGTTAGGCTAGTCATGAGATACCTTAAACTCTTGTGATATGTGTAGACGGTACACCAGACCCCATACATATAATATCTCTAAATCTTGAGGGCAAACATTACAGATCTAACTCCAAATCATGAGTAGGATATCATGCCTCATGTGGCTTCAACTATCGAGAAGCATACACAATCACTAGCCCCCTCTACATAAGAACCACCCGAAACTTGTGATTGACGCATCACAAAATACAACAAAATCCTCGACACCCTCCGGGAGGGTCAACACTGGGGCCTCACATAGCCTCTGTCACAGTGCTCAAACACCGTCTGCTGCTTAGAGCCCTAATGGAAATCTACGCCCTTCCTTGTCAGACGAGTAAGGGGTACATTAATCTTGGAGAAATCATGAATAAATCTTCAATAATATCTTGCTAAACCTAAGAAACTCCTGATCTCTGAGGGGGACTCTAGAACCTCCCACTACAACACAGCCTCAATCTTGTCCGGATCACCCAAAATCCTGTTTTAGTTAAAAAGATGCCTCAGGAACTGGACCTCTCATAACCAAAACTTATATTTTCGCGAACATGGTATACAACCTTTCTCGGCCTTAATACTCTAAAAAGCTCTCGAAGATGCTCCTCATGTTTCTCTCTGGTCTTGGAATACAACAATATATCATCAATAAAAACAATAACTGATCGATCGAGCATCGGCCTGCATACCCGATTCATCAAGTCCATAAACACCGCAGGCGCATTGGTGATCCCATATGGAATCACCACAAACTCGTAATGACCATAACAAGTCCGAAACACGGTCTTCTCCACGTTCTCCTTTCTAACCCTTACCTAATGATACCCCAACCTCAGATCGATCTTAGAGAACCAAGATGCACCCTACAACTGATCATAGAGGTCGTCAATCCGTGGAAAAGGGATAACGGTTCTTCACCGTTAACTTGTTCAAATCCCGGTAATCAATGCACATTTGGTATCAACCATCCTTCTTCTTGATGAAAAATATCGGTGCTCCCCCACGATGAACTACTCGGTCTGATAAACTGCTAGCCTAATAACTTCTGAAGCTGAGAGGACAACTCCTGAAGCTGAGAGGACAACTCATGAATCTCAGGCAGTGCCAAACGGCACAATGCTCTGGCAATCGAAGCTACACCTAGCACTAGGTCAATCCTGAACTCAACCTGCCTCTCGAGAGGCACACCAGGAAACTCCTCTAAAAACACATCAACAGATTCCCTAACAACTGGCGCATCTGAAACTGATGCCTTCTCTCCAACCAGTGTATCAACCACATATGCAAGATAACCCATATAACCATTGAAAATATTGTCACATCCCCAAATTCACGGCCAGAAAAGACCGGTTTGTTTATGCTTTATTTGAATATTAGAGTATATTTTTAACGAAATATATTGCGGAATTTTTTTCCCCAAAAAAATATGATAAGGAATTTATCAAAGCATTTACGAAGAAATGTATTATATTAAAAAACCTCGGGATGTTATTGTTAATACATATCAAAAGCATAAACATAAACAACATAGGCCTTATTATATCTATTTATGCTAGTGGCCTATGATCCATTGATCTCTCATTAGATCATCATTCCTATGCTTTCTTGTCATTACCTGTATACGAGAAAACTGAGTAGGTCTGGCTTGGGAGCATGGTGAGCACATAGGGTTTTCAACCCACAATAATTAAGTTTATTAATTTCATCAAATCAATCACCCTGATTACCCATTCCTATTATCCTCACCTTACATCACTAGAACATCTATCATACGGGACCTATCCTAAGGATTTTCATCGGGATGGACACTATTGCTAAGAGGGTTCCGCAACAATATATGTCCGTAAGGCAACCATTAGGGGGATGGAGTACATCGGTGAATACATAGTTTACAAACACCTACTGGTTGCGAGCCTGCTAGCGTCCCACTATACTGTCTAGAATACTCTGTGGTCGTCATCTATACTCCGCTAGATGAATGGATCATTTTCAACATCGAGGCCTCTCATAATTTTATTTCATCACACCCCAACTATTTCATCTACCCATGTTTTACTCTAACATATTTGTAGATATAAAATATATATATACAATTTAAATCATTTAAAACATATATAAAACGTTCATCCAACATAGATATCAGGTAAACAGATAATTCACACTGTTAAGACTACTGTCCTACATGATTTAACAAATAAAAATATAAAATAAACTACTTTATTGCACTAACAGGTAGTACAGGTAAGCAGGTTCAGATCCTCAGGGACACGTACAGGTAAACAGGGTCGGATCCTCAGGGACACGTCCTAACGTTTACACCTCTTTGCGTAAGGTGTGAACTAATTCTTGATGAATGCAATAAACATAAAAGGGGAGGGGGTTTATTTCTGAAAATTAAACTAATAGAAATTGAAAATGACAAGAAAATGACTAAATTTAAAGTGATGAAAATTCAATTAAGAGAAAGCAATTCCAGTTTCACGGTGACTCCCCTAATCGTATAATTAACCCTTAACACAATATTTGACTATGTACTTGTTTAAGCTGGTACTAAGGTTCATTAACAATCTCTAATGACCTTTATTACAAAAATCATTTAATCAAAATAAGTTCTTTGAATTAAAACTAATTTTTACTAAATTAACTAAACAAGCTCTTGACTAACAAAGAAAAGTTGCATTAGACACAGTGTAATTCCCAGTAAAGTTCAATACCTCTTATAAGCTCGGAGGTGTTAAAACTTGTTTGATCATCTCATATTAGAGTTAACCCTAAATTCAGAATTAATCTAATATATGTCACTTTTTACTAATTAATGTAGACAATTACAAATCTAAACAATTAGTCGACTAGAATGATTCACAAACAATTGAAGTGGCCAACAGAAATTGAAATCAAAATCAAACACTCAATTTGACACAGAATTGATCAAACTAAACAATAATCATAGTAAAATACAGTGCCTAATGATTAATCATATGAAAGGTTACGTGTTGCAAAACTCAAATATGAGTTTTTAGCCTGACATGGCTAAAAACGGATTACAAACAGTGGAAATAGAATCTAAACGACAAATCTTACTAAACTATGAATAGGAATCGAATTGTCTCCTGTAGATCTGCGTTCTTCACTTGAAAACCTCTGAAAATCGCCTCTGAATCGCCAGGAATTGCCAATTCGGGTTACTGGAAGAGTATGGGGTTGTATTTATACGTCTAACTGTCAAAACGCCATACACGTGATCGCAAAGGGACAACTTGCGATCGTATGTATCACCTAAAATGAGTCACAGGATTTTTAATGAAGTATGTTGACATTTCGACGCAAATTGACCAACCTGCGATCACAAGGTCACAACCTGCGATCGCATGTATCACTTTTCCTAAGCTGATGGATTTTTTTTGCTCGATAAAACCTCAAAGGCAACCTGCGACCCAACCTATGATCGCAAGTTACTTTTTTTGGCTCTTTTGATCGTCGCTCCTCCTTCCAAGCAGTTCTTGATCATTTCCCGGCATCCTCCTTGGTCTAGACTCCAATTAAGATCCAACGCATCCACAAATGCATCCCGAACTTGCACAATCATCCATGTGCTCCAAATGGCCCTGAAAAGTCATAACAAACGTGATCAATACGAGTATTCTTAAAGTCTCACCGTGGAAGGGACTTATAAGATTCAAAAAGCTAGGAAAGTTGAGTCCAAGGTTTATTGGACCCTTCAAAGTTCTTCAAAAGATTGGGAACCAAGCTTACAAGCTCGAATTACCCGAAGAACTGGATGGTATTCATAAAACCTTCCATGTGTGTTATTTGAGGAAGTTCACAGGAGAAGTTCGCGACATAATCCCGATATCAGAGTTAAGAATGGATGAGAATAAATGGTTGATCGAAGAGTCTGAGACAATTGTTGACCGTAAGACTAAGAAGTTACGACACAAGATGGTCGACTTAGTGCTAGTCCGATGGAAACATTCGAACGGGCCGAATCTCACTTGGGAAACAGAAAGTGACATGATGAGTCGCTACTCACATCTGTTTGCTGATGCATGATTTCGGGACGGAATCATCCTAAGGGGGAGAGAATTATAACGCACGGTTTCAGGGCAAAGCATTTTTAGACAATATAATAGTCTAGGTC